AAGACTCTACTAGACCCAGACCTCTCATCGCGAAATTCCAGGAATCCATTGATAAAGTCTATACATTGAAAGCAAGACCATCATTTAAACAAGCAGGATTCAATATCGCAAGCGACCTGATGATGAGACAACGCAGACGACTCAAAGAACTGGAGGGAACTGGTGTCCGTGGCTATTACAAGCAGGGAAAACTCGTGACGGTTCCTGATACGCGTCCTTCCGTTGCCCATCAGGATGTCCCCACAACACCAGCAAGAAACAGACCTGTACGTCGTCTCCAACAACGCGGAGTGAGAACCCTAAGTGAGAGAGGTGACAGATAGAATGGGGGCCAAGGCCAAATTTCAGAAGGATCAAATAGCAACTACACTTGTGATTGTACGGACGCTTCTGTGAATCCATGCAGTGACGACGATGCAGTATTATCTTTGTTCCGCATATTATTGTGAAATGTAAACGGTCTTTATAGCAAGTACTCTGATGAGGATTTCCTATCATATCTACGGACCTTTGATATATTCTGTCTCACTGAAACTTTTGTTGTCGATAGAATACCTGAACTTTGGATTGCAGGGTATAGCTTATTTTATTCAAGTGCAATTAGTTTATCCAGTTCCGGACGTTCTTGTGGCGGGGTATGTGTCGGTATAAAACATGAACTACTAAGACTATGTGATCCAATAGCTGTTAATGTTGACAACTTGTTATGTTTTAGACTCTCACAAAGTATACTGGACAGCACATGTGATATTTTATTGATTTCATTTGTGCTTACATACCACCTGAAGCGTCAACATACTACTGACAAAAGGACTCTGTTTGTGCTCTTGATCTGTTAGAGTCTGTTCTTATAGATCATGCATCAGATATTGCTAATTGTCATGTCCTTCTGTGTGGTGACCTCAATTCCCAATGTGGAAACAAAAATAACTTCAGTGACTATGATTCAGATAGTATTAATAATAGAGGTGATCCCTTTCCAGAGGAAAGTGTCCCTATTTTCACGAATCTCGTTACTTGGATAATCTTAAGAACTGTCTTAATCTGACTGAATTAATAGAACTTCTACATGTTGATATAGATAGGTCTTTGTCTAGCTTCGTAGACTATTTACTGAATTCCGCCAGCTGCATGAAGAAAGCCTTATGCTCTAAGAATGGCTACATGATTAACAGACGTTATAGCATTGAATATATGCAGGCAAAACGCGCTACGAGGCGAGCGCTACGGAAATTTAGGAGTAACAAGTCTGCTGATAACAGAAAGAGTTACTGTTCCTTAAGAAATCGATATAAGTATGAAATCAGGTTATATAAGAATAAGATACGACACAATAGAATTGGACAGCTATGTAATGCAATGGGTAATGCTAAGAAATTTTGGAAAGAGGTTCGATCCATTAACATGAGAAACATCCCTGCATTTCGAAAGCAGAATGGGCAATTCATTTTAAAGAAGTATTTTCAACAAACGACATATTTGATCATATGCTTTTTGATGACATATATGGTCCTATAAATGAAGATGATTTCTTTTCTGAAATAGATTGAGAAATCCTTGAATCTGATATTCAATGTCATGAGATACTGACAGCAATTCAGTCACTTAAAAAACGTAAATCCCCGGGATTGGATAATATTCTTGCTGAAATGCTGCAATCATCAAGGGAGATAATTTTGCCCTATCTTACAGAATTGTTCAATATGTTTTTTCGTTCAGGCGTATTTCCAAGTTCGTGGTTGAAGGGCATTGTTATACCTATTCATAAGAAAGGAGATGCTAGCAATGCAGATAATTATAGAGGTATAACATTACAAAAGACTAATGTTATGGGCCAATATGAGGGATAGAATTCCAGTACAGTGATCGCTCGCTATTGCGCTACCAATGGGGTCCAAATAATTGGTGGGCGTTATAGACGATGAGCCGTTTAACCGAAACCGAGGCGGGGGAGCGCGCTCGGCAAATCTCAAATCATCAATAGGCCTATGTGTTTATCTCACGTCACGTCAAAATAGTATATATTTTTATGGACCTAGATCTACCTGTAATATCATTCATTTATTAAATCTGTCATATTTCACAATGTCTGAAATACGTATTCCATTCTAATTTATCATTTTTTATCAATAAATTAAAAAATTATTCACTATTTCCCGCGATGTTATTGAAAATAAAATTCTCGGACACACATTTCGACAACGGGTCCGCATCGAACATGTCAAAGAGCAAAATATAGACTATTTTAAGCAAATCTTTAAATATATTATACAAAGTGATAAATAAAATCAACAAAAATATATCTAAAAGTAATCAAACTTACATCTAAGTTATTATTTCCATCGTTTTGTGCGATCGCGTGTAATGTAAGTCAAATGACATCTCGGCTTTCGTCGCCTTGAATTCTCGGCTCGGACACAACGTTTAATGCAAAAATATATGCATGAAAAATCTTTGTCACAGCTCGTAACCTAGCACGATACATTCGCGAAGTTCCATATTTTTAATATATATCGTGATTTCCTGCTTAAAACGTTCAGAATAACACGATTTAACAAAAAATCTTTCGCTAACTTCTGAAATTTATCAAACACGAGCTTTGTATCAAAGCTTGATTGGCTGCCTGAGGTCACGTGCTCAAAATTGACCAATCACGAAACTTGTAGCAGATTTCGGCAAGAAAGCGTCATTAGAAACAAATTTTAATCCAATGAAATCGCTTGTTATAACTACGGGGAAAAAACAGGCGATGTTACGAAAGCGCGATTACGAAATGAATGACCGCCGTGTTGTGACAGCAACTACATTTGTGTGACAGTTTAGCCTTAAATTGGATTGCCCACTAATTAAGAATATAAACTTCACTTGTGGTTCTCTTTTATTGCATGCATGCGCTTCTAAGATCAAAGGATGTATAGTGTGAAAAGTTAACTAGTTGAACAATCGTATTTCCGGGACTTGCCGCGGATATTTTCAAACAGATTATTAGAACTCCATTCAGCGATAAACCGTTGATTATGCAATGAGAAGCGTTATGTGCAAATAAACAACGAACAACAATACAATCATGTCTGTGTAAAACTCTCAGTATTAAAAGTGTACATAAATTTTGGGAGCCATGCGTTACCGCGCGTAATAACCGAAGTAGCGCTTTATCGAAGAGCGCAATAGCGAGCGATCACTGTATATCAGGTCGGGTTTAGAAAACACTATTCGACTACAGATCATATCTTTACATTAAATGCAATTATAGAAAATATTTGATGAAACTAGGGAGAAAACTCTATGTAGCTTTTGTTGATTTCCGGAAGGCTTTTGATTCTGTGAATCGTCATAAACTGTGGGTGTGCCTTAGAAGAGCTGGATTACAGGGCAAAATGTACCTGATTCTTAAAAGTATGTACTCTAATGTCAGGGCGTGTGTGCGCTGTAAAGGTGATTTCACTGACTTATTTGATTGTTCGCTTGGCTTGAAACAAGGATGCGTCAGTCTCAGGTCTTCAGAACCAATTAAACATTTTGACTGATTACACTGATGATTGGAAGTTAACTGTAAACTTAAAATAAGACAAACATAGTTGTTTTTAGAAGAGGTGGCCCATTTAGCTTCTGTCGAAAAATGGTTATATAAGGGTTCGAGAGTTAAAGTTGTTAGTAAGTATAAATACCTAGGTGTTCTGTTTACCAACACTTTAAGTATGGGTAATCTTGTTCAGGATTTTTCTGTAAGGGGTAAAAAAGCCATGGTCATGTTATTGTCAACTCTGTCTTAACTCCAGCCTTTATCCCCAAGTATATTCTTTAAATTGTTTGACACACAGATACAACCAATACTTTTGTATGGCTCTGAATTATGGGGTTTTAAACATTTTAATACAATCGAAAAAGTACATCTTCTTGCTTGTAAAATTTTTTTAAGGATTGGTGTCAACTCCCCTAATAATATTGTTTACGGAGAGTTTGGTAGATATCCTTTGTACGATAATTCATATATTCGTTGTATCAGATATTGGCTAAAAATACTTACTATGCACAAACAGTGACTGCCAAGGAAAGCTTACAATATGTTATACAACTATGATAATCTGGGTTACAACACTTGGGCATCAAATATTCGGGGACTTTTGTTCTCAAATGGCTTTGGCTATGCTTGGATTTATCAAGGAGTTGGTAACACCAGTATGTTTGTAAATATGTTTAAAGAAAGAATTGTAAATACCTTTTATCAAACATGGATGTCTAATTTAAATGCAAGTAGCAGATATGATGTGTATAGATCATTCCAATCCTTACTGGAGCCTGAAAAATATTTAAGTGTTCTTTGTAATTTAAATCTACGTTCAACATTCACGCGTTTTCGTATGGGACTGAGTGATATTAGAGTAAATACCGGAAGAAGACAATACGTTAAAATCTATGAGTTTGTGTCCATTATGTGATATGGGTGTTGAGGACGAAATTCATGTACTTTTTATCTGTGAGTTTTACCAAGATATCCGAAAACATTTTATACCCGCTAAATACCTTAACAGCAATGTACCACATCCCTTGTGTCACTTATGTCTAATCAATCTTCTGATGTAATCTACAGCCTAGCTCAATTTCTCCATCAAGCACTCAATATTCGTCAAGAACTTGTAAATACAAATGTCTCCTAGAATGCACATATGTTGAAAGTATGTATACATTGTACCGGTATGTGTTTGTATATAGGCCGGAGGCCTTTCATACAATAAACTTCTTGTCTTGTCTTGTATGAACCATGAACAGCTATACTTACTTCATGGCAGAAACTTTCAACTTGGAATGTATCTATATAATGAGTGCCTTGGTACAAGTTGTGTTTTTGATAAGTGATTTTGTTTAGCATTTAGCATCACCACAGCTATACCATGGCAGATAACATGGGAACAGAATTTAAATGCTTTCAGGCATGCATGGAAGAATTAATGTGTTTGTGAGGATGAGATGATAACACTGAACAAATTTTGTGTTTGCAGTTGCAAGCCTGGTGGCGGGGCATAATGGTGCGAAAAGGATTCGGGCCTTACAGTAAGAAGAAGAAGAAGGGCAAGAAGGGCAAGAAGGGCAAGAAGGGCAAGAAGAAGAAGTAGAGTAATATGGTGTTTTCATGAGAAGAGCAGTGTCCAAATTAAAGACACATGTATATATGTGTACTGAATAGGAAACAGTATGTGTTCATTAATGCAAATTGGTTAAACTGTATTTACAATAGTTCAAATTCAAGATATGATTTATGATCATAAATATCAATAAAGTTAATTCTGTTGATTGGTTTTGTTTATTCAGTGTAGTGAAGCCGATGGCTGCATAAATAAAAATAGATCATACCCTTCCATTATTGGTCTTTTTTTTTTAGTGAGTGAGAGAATTGGATTTAGCACCATCCAAAGTGTTGCATTTCTTAGACATATACCACTCAAGTGAAACCCATGTATTAATTTTAAAACTTATTCTATTTCACACTGTGCATTTCTTCTATCTTCTTCCATCATATGCTTGAACCATGTTTCCAGCTTCTAAAACAAAAAACACTTCACCTGAACAAACCCAGCATCCCTATCGTTACTAACAAATAACTGGATCAATTATATGCACCCGTTCATACTCCCGTGCATGATCATGTCTGTATCTCTGCCAACTTGTTTTCTTTCTAATCACCACGGTGTCTGGTTGTGTCGTTGACTTTAGACAATACGTTTGGGATGATTGGGGGTGCTGATTCTGAGAATCGCAACATACTGCATTGGTAAAAAGGGGAAAGGTTATGTCCGGTGTGTACACGGTGCCGACGCACATGCTCTACTTTGGACCCCCATACATTGTGTTGTGACTGTCATGGACAGTGTACCTTGACTTCCCAGTGAGCTGAGCTTCTTAACTTGCCAGACTCTGCTTTTCAGCTTTACCCCTCCATAAGGAAGGATGGTGGACTGTAGGTCCAAACCTAAGTCTGCTAAGAAGTCTACTGTCACGTCTCATCCTCTTGACGCTTCCGACTCCCAGGTGCCTGTTTTATCTGTTGCCGATGATGCAGCATCTGACAGTTATTTGACTGACGATGTCTTCACTCAGCCTGCCCACGCCTATGCCTCCAGTCCTTTCAATCTCATTAAAATCAGATCTTAGTTCTCGCTACGGCTAAACAAAGATCTGAGGACATCCCATTACGAGTCACGTCAGACCGACCTTGCGCGAACTTTGACCGACCAATGGAATGACCAATCAGGAGGCAGCTTTCTTGTGCTTTACAGCACTAATTTCAAATGGCGACTACACTTCGAAACATATTTTTACAAATTTGAAACCTGATGGCTAATAGATGGTCCAGATTTATTGATTCAGTCGTTAAACCCGTAACTATCGTTCGGAATACCCCGTGTTAAAGTTTTCGAGGTTGCATGATTAGAAATCACATTCCTACTGTCACTTTCATAATCTGGTAAGGGACGCTCTGATTTGTCGGATGAAAGGTCGTTCAGACGTGAGCCCTGATGGGATGTCTTCAGATCTTTGTTTAGCGGTTGCAAGAACTAAGGTCTGACTTTAATGAGATTGCCAGTCCTTTCAGACATCTGGAACCTTAGTAGTGGGGCTTTTAAGGCTAAAATTGTCCACTTTGGGTTAAAAGCACCAAACTTGGCACACTTATACATTGAACCATTCCGAACATTTTTGGATATGGATCCACCTCAGCAGAGCCCCCTGGTGGAAGAAAATCCAAGATGGCTGCCAACATGGCTGAACATTCAAATGATATCAATATATACTCAATATATCATACTTATCTGATCCATTTATACATATATCCATACTAATACATGCGGAATGAATTGCAGCAGAGCTGTACATAATTCAAATATAGTTTGCAGCACCCCCTGGTGGTAGAAAATCCAAGATGGCTGCCAGCATGGCTGAAATCTCTTATGATATCAATCTATACTCAATATATCATAGTTATCTGGCCAATTTATACAAATTAGCATTGTAATGTATTTAGCAGTATTCACATTAACCCTGTTTATAATTCAAACCTAGTATGCAGCACCCCCTGGTAGTGATGAAAGTCCAAGGTGGCCGCCGACATGGTTGCAATCTCTAATGACTCTAATCTTTACTAATTATATCATAATTGTCTGGTCAATTCATACAATTTATCACAGTGTCTTTTTCAGGATCAATTGCAACAATGCTTTATATAATTCAAATCTGGTATGCAGCGCCACCTGGTGATGACGAACATCCAAGATGGCCTCCAATACATTTTAGTTTTCAGAAATTGTCTATTTCTACAGCAGATATGGATATCATTTGATATCTTTGGACTAAGGACAAGTTGATAAGTTTTGATATGATGAAACATTTTTAAATGACATTGTATCAATTAATATGTATTGCGTATAATCTATTCTCGGCATATTATTTTATAAATGGTCTTCTGAGAAATGTTCTATCTAGTTTATATTAGATCACCCCAAAACCACTCATCTGGGGAAGGAATCATATCTTAAAAACAGGAATGTATGTGTAAGTATTACTGACATTATTGCCATGAACCTATGACATCAACTAGGACCAGGAATATCGGTTCGATGTATGTGTTTATGGTTCTATAATTCAGTTACAGTGAACACTCTCCTTCAAAGTATCACATAGCACTGTACTCAAGAACGGCAGTGTAAAGTTTACAAAGGTTTGCAAGATTTCTTACAGGTGTAGTGTTAGTTTATAACACTTCTTTGTGCCTGACCAAGTGTTGTCCACTTGGAATATCTATATATTACTGCATGTCCTCTCCCAACCCCTGACTCAAGCACCTGTCCCCATACATGCATTGGTGCTGTCTTAGAGCTGCCTCTTTGGGTTGGAATGTCAATTGTCTGAGGTCTTCATGAACAGAGATTTTGCCTTTCTTGATCTTGCAAATAAACCAGTGAGAACGACAAACCACTCAAGAATCTGCATTGTGTTGTCAGAGATATCTGCTGATGATGGGAAAGCATGAAATACTTGACATGTATCCCAAGCATATGGACCGGTGAAGGCATGAAATAGTGACAATGTCTTTGAATTCCGTGGGCCTCTAGAATGAGTGAGTGAGTGAGTGAGTGAGTTGGGTTTAACACCGCTTTAACCAGTATTCCAGTTATATCATGGCATGTCAGCTTAATGTGGGAGGAAAGCCGGAAGTGATGCAGGTCTCAGACGTTTACCACTTCGGTGAAACCCACGAGCACGGGTATGGTGCTGACAATCCTAGAAACATAATCGGGGCGAACCGGGATTCAAACCCACAATCATAGGTTAATGTCGTGCCCAAGGGATGCAACTCTGGACAGCGAATCGCGGCGCCTTAGACGACTGGGCCAACCCTGCCCCCAGGCCTCTAGAAGAAAACTCTCGGCTGTTTCAGTCAATCCAACTGCACCTCCATCTCCTTTCATACGGCCATTGAATTGTTCATGTGTCTGACCTTGTGCCACACCAGAGAATGTCTGTTTAGTCTTGTGTGTCTCTAATCCACCGGAACAACATTTGTGGTACAGCGGTGCTCATGCTGATATCTGTGAAATGCAAGCCATTAATATGACAAGTGATGGTGCAAACTTTGGGAAATCTGCTTTTTGAATTGCACCCACCAGGCACAATATGCAAAGTTCTTGTTCAAGAACAAGGGGCCAGTAGTGAAACGGGCTGAGCAGCTTACTTCGGTGCACACCAGTTTCTGAAAGGATCGTCTGTGTTCGCTTCTGTTTTCTTATATTGCACATATGCCTGATGTTGTAGCAGGGTGGGTACACATGATGAAGAAATCAGCAAATCTGCCTGAGGCAATTCCAGCAGCACAGATTGCAGTTTTCCTTCATCATATAATTCAGGACAGTTCCACTGGATTGTTTTAGCAATTGTGTATAGTGGTTCATCCAAGGCAGGCACATGCATCTGACCAGGATTCAAATGCTCAATACCCTTTTTACCACATTAATTGAATGCTGTATCATAGCAACAGAGTGTGCACATTCTAGAACATTGGCATATGGGCAATTGTTTTTGGAGGCTATGTTTGTCTTATTTTCCCAATACTTCCTTCATGTGATATGACCAGTTTTACTCATGGTCAGGCATTGTGTTCACACTATCTACATCCTGGGTGAAAGGTCGTTTTAAATGAGGCACATAATTACCCATCTTGCTAAAACAGGATGGGGGTACATTAGTATATACTGTTGGCTGTTTGGAAAAGGTTTTCCTTGTTTGTGTTCTTTCTTCAGCCAAAAGAACAACATGTGATGTTCATTCCTCTTCAGCTGTTGGACGCTGCTGCAATAGTGAAATGCTGGTACCATGAAGTGGATATGTTGTTGTAGGGCAGGGATTATGATAGATGTTATCTTTTGAGAATGTTGGTGGGCATACAACTTCATCTTCATAAACACCACATACTGTGTTATATCTGTTAAATACACCAGACAGTTATGCTAAATGCACAAACCCATATTGTAAAATGTGTCAACAAGATCACGTTTTCTTGTTTAATACCAAGTAAACTGGTACTTGCATTTCTCGGTCTCAGTGGTGTCTTTGTGTTGATGAGCTGGTGCACCGACATTTCCCACTTTGAAGACAAGATGTTCTGCGATTGTTTTGAATGCTTGAGGATTGTTTTTTTTATACCTGGTCCTTCAAATTTCATACTGACTAGAGCTTTCAAAGAGATAGGTACATACTGTTTATGGCAGTCAGAAACTCCCCTGAAAGTTTGTTTCAACCTTAAATCACGTCTGCGGATAAATGTGTTGCTCGTTTAGTTAGCCTTAATGATTAAGAATAAAAAAGGCATGTTTCAGTGCTGGTCCAATATCTTTATCAAATTCCAAGTTCAGTTACAGAATTTAAACCAAGTTCATGCAGTCTAATATATTCCCCAGATCTGCCTTACGGAATACAGACCTTGCTTCAAATGAATGAATTTTAGTACCAAAACCTTATACATTCAGTAAAATTGACAAAATAATTATGATAGATTGAATATAAATTGACATCAAAAAGAGATTTTAACCATTTTGGCGGCCATCTTGGATTTTCTACCACCAGGTGGCGCTGCTGAGGTGGATCCATATCCAGAAATGTTAAGAATGGTTCAATGAAAAAGGGTGCCAAGTTTGGTGCATTTAACACAAAGTGCACAATTTTAACTAAAATCCAGGCTTAACCGTCCCACTACAGTTCATCGTGGGAGTTTCTTCCTTCATCTCTTCTTGGATTCCACGCTTTCTGCTCCTTCGGATGTTCGTTTGAGCAGAGACCATATAAATAATCTATTATATGGTCTCTGGT